TTTAACAATTGTTAAAAACACTTGTATCTGTTGAGACTTTCTGAGATTGCCTGAAATCTTTTGATGCCAGTTGAACAAAGAAAAAGCCTTAACATTTGTCAGTTGCAAAGGTTATACTGGTTATACTATCATCTCTCAAATCTCAGCCTCTTTAATTAGGACTAGAAGCATGAAATGACAGGTGGTAGTTCTACCAGAGGGTCATATAAAATTCCAATTCTGTAACAGATCGTTCTTTGCGATATTTAAATCAGTAGTTTGCAATATAAAATCACCAATCTCATTAAAAATCCCAATCTCATGACTGCTACATTTCCAGCAGCCGGAGTTTGCGATATAAAATCACCAATCTCATTAAAAATCCCAATCTCATGACTGCTACATTTCCAGCAGCCGGAGTTTGCGATATAAAATCACCAATCTCATTAAAAATCCTGTAGTAGTAAAACAAAACAATAAGCCCCCAGTCCTTCCTCGCCCCTATGAACGCGTCCACGTCCTTCTCAGCTCCTCAGCCCGAAATGTTCCTTTCCCCGCGTAAGGACCCACAGTTTATCGTAGTAGGCTATCCTTGCTGTGGCCACGCCTCTTCGCCTTCCTTTGCCAATCAGGCGGGAGTGGAGGTAGGACCTCCCCCCCCCCCATTGCGAGTGAGAGCTGCCAGGAAGTACCGCCTCCCTTGTCCCTTCTGCTTGATGCTGGTCTCTTTTTTATGCTGCTGGAGCCCAAAAAAGGGGGACCGTTTCGGGATTTCTTTTTTTCCCCCTCCGATCCAGGCCATAGAGAGCGGAAGGACGGTGAAAGCCGGGCCGGACGTTTGGTCACCCGGAAGAAGAGGTATGGTGGCCAAGTTTGGGGTTTTAAACTACGATAGAGACTGACTAGTAGCTGCAGAAGAGGCCTAATTCTCCTTGTTCCTTTCGTTGTGAGGAAGGGGCCAAGTTTCCGGGCAGAAAATATAGTATGCATTGATAATACCATAATGCAGAATCCTGGATTTCGCCTTCAGTAGCTACTTTCCAGACTTCGAGTCTTCGGCGCGTACCTGTTCGTCAAATTTTGCAACAGCCTCGCTTCGTTATCTATCTCAATAAAAGCTTTGCTTCCAGTCCCTGCTCACCACCGCGGACCAAATCATGTTTTTTAATTAAAATATCGGAGCGTTTTGCCTTAGATCCTTCATAGACCTCACTCACAAAATATGCACATATATAATTAGATCTATTTAGATTTGTATCACACGCACGCACCTCTGTCTGTAAAGCATCGTATGTTGGGTATTTTGTTTAATTATGATATTAATAAGTACATGTCCAGGTATTCTTTTCATATAACTTTTTTCTGCATTCTTTTCTTCTATAAGCCACTAAAATGCTTTTTTTTTCACTTCCAGACTTATACATATCATTGAAACATATTTCTTCCATCCCAAAATCCTGAAATGCTTAATGAATAGTGTAAAGTGAGGGATGATCTGATCCTGAGTAAATCTTTGAAAACTTGAATTAGGAACCATAGAGAACCTTTGCAGTCAGTAGTATCTGTGTTTTACCCTTATCTTAAATGTGAATATCAGAATCTGTTTAGATATCTTTCCATCCCATTGTTAAAGAAATTCTCTGCAAGTTAATTTCCTATTATGATATGTGGCCTTGGCCTCTGTTTAACAGAATAGTAGCTGATTGCCTGTAACATTCCAAGATGTACATATGCACGTGGGATGTATACAATTCATATTAGTTTAAGAAAAATATTTGGCTAAATAATTTTTTTAAGATGCTGGGAAAACAAAAATATAACACAATCTATCTAATCTTGATTACAGTAGACAACTATCAAGTACTTTTGGAGAATCTAAAAGTACAGCGGATAGATATAATGTCCCAGGTTTTAGTACAATATAAGAATGAAAATTTTTCTTAGTCTGCATTTTACATCTATAACAATAGTTTATAGCCTGTTCAAGGGCTGTTAATGTTTCACAAGGATGGATCTCTCACTCTCGCTCTCTCTCACTCCCTCTCTGTCTCTCTCCCACCCCCCCATCCATCCATCCATCCATATATCACATTTCTGAATGCCTGAACTCCTTCAAGGAGGGACCCTGGGGGCTGTACACACTGCACGATACTACAGATTTTAATCCCCCCTTCCAAAAAAACTCCATGTGTTAAAATCAGAAGATCGGAAAAATGCATAAAGGTTTCATTTTCTTGCCAAAGTTTCATAGAATTTAGGATAAAATAATACCTCCTGCCCATTTAGTAAGTAATGGAGATCATCATTTACTAGAGGGTTTTCTCCTTTGCTATGGTTTGCTGGAATTGTACATTTCACTGAGGCATAAATTATGAGTTCCAAACAGCAACAATGATTATCATATGTCTGAGAATGTAGCTACTATATCTGTTTTGGTGTACAGAACACTACTACTCCATTAAATCCATTTTACAAAGCATACTTATAGAGATACCTATACATTTCTCAATGCCACCAGATTTTCATGATGCCCACTATTATTGGTTCAGTAGCATAACAAACCAGATTTAAAAAGGAAAAAATGAAGATTTTGTAGCATGCAAAAATATTCCATGTGCTTAGTGACAACCTCTTAAAGAAACACTGGCAATCTGGAGTCCAGAAAAAAAGGTTGATGTGATCCCCAGTTCTATAGAACCTGGATCTGACAGTGATATGTGCCAGAACTGAGATCTGGTGTACATATATGTTAGAAATGTTCTGAAATTTAAAACAGCCAATTCTGGGTTTTTGTCATCTCTCCCAGGTAACTCAAACAGGAGCTTATTCTCCTTTATTATAAGACTACATTAACAGAATGTTGAAAGTCTGAAAATACAAATCTCCCATTGTCACTTTTAACAATCTGATCTGTTATGCAGATCTTTTTAAAGTTTTTTTTTCTTTGCTGGTTAAGCAATTGTAGGTCCCTCCATTTTTATTTGCTTGTTTTCTAAGTAGTATCTCTTCTTCTCCCTCAAGGTCATTCCTGTTTCAAGATTGAATTGCTAATATAATTGTTTTCTAAAAAAAATGTCTCTGAAAAACTTGTGATACTCACAGTGTCCCCATTGTCATGTGATTATGATTTAGGTGATTAGCAACCAGAGTACCAGAGATGATATTCAGCAGGTTCTGACCAGTTCTGGAGAACCGGTAACAGAAATTTTGAGTAGTTTGGAGAATTGGTAAATACCACCTCTGACCGGCCCTGCCTCCATCTATTCTCTGCCTCCTGAGTCCTAGCTGATCAGGAGGAAATGGGGATTTGTCAGTAACTTCCCCTGCAATGCCCACCAAGCCACACCACACCACGCCCACAGAACCAGCAGTAATTTTTTTTAATCCCACCACTGCAGAGTACCAGTACATTTATGATGGCTACAGGATCTTGTGATCTCATGATCATCATTTTCAACTTCCACAGAAGTTTTCTGATGTGAAAAATAGGGAAGAAACAATTTGCGGTCATATAACACACTTAATGACTGTGGATGATTTGCTTAACTGCAGCAGGAGCTGACAATATGGATGGGCACATGATGTTTCACTCTACAATCTCATCACGTAGCAATGGAGTTGCTGGTCCCAATTGCAGTCAGTAAAGACAATTGTATTCTTTTGCTATAACAGTTTATTGAATGCAGCCATTACTAATTCTGAAATCAAAGATGACATAAAGTTCCAATTCTTCTCTGTTAGTGTGTTTTAGCGGGGACTAGTCATAGATAAATTTTATCTATGGAAACGATGTGACAAAAATGGTTGAAATTCATGGTTTGGATGGAGCTGAAAGTTTAGTGGTTAATTCAGGTCCAACAAGATGGTGTTCTGGTTGAACTCTGCGTATGTTTGGTGGAGATAATAGCAGTTTCCTAAGTCTTAATGTGATTCCAATTCCTTTCCAAGGACTTTTCAAACTCTTTTCTTATCCCTAAGTGGACTTTGTGAAAGTGGACTTTGGATAAGCACTGTCAAGTGGAGGAAGTGGCTTCCAGGAGTAACACGAAGAGCTTTCATTGCTTTAGAGTTATGGATATTTGTTCTTCAAGAGTTCAGTTCCTTGTGTAATTGTCTCCCTAGCCCCAGTGGCTAATGAGATGCTGTCATGATTGCTTCACATTCAAAGCCTTTTTTCTGTCTTTGCCATTCATTAATGTAATGAGCTGTTAGCCACTGCCTGACATGAATTGTATTATGTATTTCACTACTTCCAAGTCCTTGAGATTGTCTTTTTCCCCAGTATGGTTGATTAAAAGTCAGCACTTTTGCATGTTGGTATTTTTTCTCTCCATTTTTAATCTTAAAAATAGTTTTATAAAAGTTTATGTATATTTTAAGGCAGCACACAAAATGTACTAAAGTAAACCAAGCTGCAGTCCTTTTTATGTTTTCTATGGGGTAAATCAGTGGGATTAATACTTTGTAATATATACCATCTTGAGTTTTTATTCAAAGAAAAATTTTCAATAGCTGGAATCCAAAACACTGGCTTTAGACACTCCCAATGCTAGTCTACTTGAAAGTGCCTATCAATTTTGAAGTACCTTCCCTTTTAAAAATCCTACTCAGGGTTATTGTAGCAAAAATCAAACAAAAAGCTCCTTTGAGCACAAGAAATCAATTACATAATTTTATTGAATCATAGCAAAAATACTTTGAAAAAATGTTTTCTATAACCTTTTATTTCACTCAAAGTATTCCAGTATTAATTTTTAGCTTTTGCTGGCTTAAAGTCATGATTGTAAAATATTTTTTTTACGTTTTGGGAAATCTGATATTCATTTTATTTGTTCCTGTTAGCCTGCATAATATTTTTGTCAATTTAATAGGCATGGTTTCTGTTATTTTAACTTTAGCGTGCTTTTAATACTGTTCTTACTATTCCTCTCATTAATTTCAGTTTTGATCATTCTCCATAGTAGTTTGACATAGTATTCATAAGGTGGCAATTACAATTTCAACATTTTTATAGGAGAAACTAGAACATGTTGGTTTTCAGTATATATACAAAAGAATATATCTGTTGGGAAAAAAGCAATCCCTCCCTTTGTAGTAATTTGACCCCTCTCTGAAAAACTTCATAGATTGGTAAATGGGAGCTACAAAATGTTACTGTATAGAATGCCCCATTTCTAGGCTCAGCCAATCCTTGCTTAATTTTTTGAGTCATGCTTGGAAACATTAGTTTTTTCATCATTTTAAATTAACATTTTCCTTACTTTGTTCTAATAATTTAACAGATAACTGGAAATACCTAGTCATGCAATGGCTTTTGAAGACATACCAAAAAAGGACTGGTATAGCATCTTGGGTGCAGAACCCTCTGATAACTTAAAAGAATTGAAAAGGAAATATCAAAAGCTAATATTATTGGTAAGTAAATTTTACGTTCTTGAAAGGAAAAATAATTCATTTACAAATACTTGATTGATAACTATCATATAAACAGAACAGATAGAGCAGGTATTGGTTATATTATACACATCTTACTAATTGAAACTGAAGCTATTATTTCTCCCTCCAACCCTCAGGAAAACCATGATATTCTATAACTTTCTCTACATTCTAAAAATGTACAAGAAATTAATTGCTGTTTTTTTAATCATGTGAAATGAAAATTAGATGAAAGAACTATGTTCAGACTTATAAATAATTCTTTGTCTTAATTAAAGAAAATGCCTGACCTTCCTTTCTGAATTGTGGCAGCATGAAATGAATCAATCAGTGTTTGTGACTTTACAATTTGCTACCATGGAAGCAATTATAATGTCACTAGTGCTAGATTGGCATCACTGGATAAATTAAGCATAAGACACTGACTGAAAAACAAATGGGAACCCCCCCCCCCATGCCTAAAAGTGTATTGTTCAAGTGCAATAATATGATTAAAAAACAAGTACATAAAGTTTTCTTAAATGTGCAATCTATTTGTAGAACCCATATCAATGAAATCTGAGTTTTGTATGTATTCAGTATAAAGTATACCATTATATCATATCATAGATTGGTTTATATGTTGCTGTAAAGTTGGACAGAGTAATGTTATGGGAATGAAGTTACATTACACTACAGGTTTGCATGTTTCTGTCGTATCTGAAGATACAACTTTATAATGATTCATTATATAATAGTGTTTTAATCTTAAATTGCTTATGGATATTAAATATTAGAATTGCCACTAAATCTATGAAACTATTCTATTTCTTCAATACTTCAAATCAAAAGTATTTGTTTACCTATTTCTGTCCAGCTCCATTTGTTAGATATCTGCAATCCTATCATAAAATAAAAGCCTCTATAGACTGGATAACTTTCCTAAAGTCCAGCTGAACATAAAGTTTAGCTCAAAATACTTGGAATTCAATTTCTTGCTCTATTGAAATCAATTAAATAAGATAATATGAGGAAAACATGCTCCTCCTAGCATTTTAACAATTTTCAATATTTTCTGAGCAAGACATATGCTGAAGACATTTATTTTAAAGAAAGTATTGAAAACAATTATAATGCATTTCAGTTAGTTCCTCTGATACCAAAAGTCACTTGTCCAGAATAGGAATAGGAATAAATGGTACATTTGGGAATAATTTGTAAAATACAAATTTTCAGAGAGTTTTTTTTACAAATTTAAAAGGGCAATCTCTTGCGAATGAATAAAAATAACAGTGAGAATGGACCATATTCAGTGTCTACAGTGTCTAAAAACAAAATAGCCAAGGAGAAAGTAAAAGTAGGTTATCCCAAACAAGGGATTGGCTGGGTCTAGAACTAGGGCATATTACACGGTAACATTTTGTAGTTCCCATTTACTAATATATGAAGTTTTTTAGAGATCATGACATTTTTATGTATAAAATTTATTATTTGCTTTTATATTCTAGCTTTTCTCTTAAGACTTCAGTGAAGAGTACATAAGGTGTGTTCCCCTCATTCTTACCTCACAGCAATAATTCTGCGAATTAGGCTGGAGTAAGACAGAATTAATGGCTCAAAGTTGCCCATTGAGTTTCCTATTAATTGGAGGCTTGACACTGTCTCGTACAATATGTTAATTGAACTTACAGGTACATGCATGAATATTTAAGAATAGATACCGAAGAGGCAACATGATTTAGATATTAAACTATGTTTGAAGTTACAATTGCATCTGTTTACTCTTTTCTTTCTTATAATCCCTATCTTTTTCTAAGCAAGTGGCTGTTAAAATTTAAATTGCTGTAATGGCCAGTTCTGAAATTACAAAGTCAGAGTACTTGTGTCTTCCTAAAACCAGGGGTCTATCTGACAGCCGGATAGTTGTTCAAGTTGATAGCATGTCTATTTGAAAGTAATAGACAGGCAGAGTTTAGGGTGGTAAAATCACATGTGCAAGTATCTTATCACAGCTGGTTGATCTAAATTTAAGTCTGTAAGTACTTCTACTAGTTAATGCCATGGAGCATCTCTTATCATAAGTTTAATCGAGTCTAATATTCATATTCTTCAACTGTGATTCTTCAGGTTATGCAGTTTAAATAATTAGTGTTTATCTATGACAGGGTTTATGATTGTTTGTAAGAAGTAGATCTGAGGAACAGGTAAGGAAAATTGGGGTGGGCGGGGAGGAGTACATGCTTGTTCAGTAGATTTGCATAATATATCTGCTAAACTATTCTACGTGGTGCATTGATTTGGAGCATCTGTCACAAAGTATTTTTAGCACATTTATTTTTTAAATCTGTCCATAGTATTGAAAATTATATCTAAATACAGTGCTTGTTGTTGCCAAGAAATAATTTGAACCAATAAACTGGAAATCTGCAGCCATGTTATTTAATCTACAGCAATACACATACAATTACTTTTAATGTACGCTGTATATAATATATATTAATATACATTAGGTATGGTATATTTATCTCTTGATGGTATAATTCAGAGCAGGAGTGAAATTCAGGAGGTTCTGATAGGTTCTGGAGAATCGATAGCGGAAATTTTGAGTAGTTTGGAGAACCAGCAAATACCATCTCTGGCTTCATTTTTAGGAAAAAATGAAGTATATATAATGCTTACTATCATAGATGCATTTGAGATTTGAATACTTTGCATATCTATAATAGAGGGATCACATCCTGTAATGTATAATATGTAAAAATGTTCATACAATATATTTGGAATGAGAGATACTTATTTTTACACATTTTTAGACAGCATAAAAAGGAAATATTTCAAAGAAATCAGTTTCAACGCTCCCACAAATTTCAATCTAATCTATAAGGGGAAAGGTGGAATGGATGACACAAGCATGGTTGAGAACTGCTTATTTCTTAAATTATTCATTTTCCATTTTTTTCTTCATTCTCTTATATTGCTACAAAAGAAATTTCTTCTGTGGACTTTTTAATCAGTAGTGTATATAGATCAATGCTCTTTTTAACAGGTTAGTATAAACTAAAATGTATATGACTATAGTTTTCCATTCATCACCATTTACACTGCTTGTGGCCATCCCTATAACTCTTGCCTAATTACCATGAGAATACTTTCTTGTAATAATTCTCCCTTGAGCCACATCCAAGAGGTGATTATTTTGTGGTCACTGTAACATAGAAATAAGTGATAGTTATTCTTGGGCAAATGACTGCTTAACTGGTGGCAGCCATTTGCTTAATAGAAAATTGTGGGATGATTTAACTTGATCTTTTCAAAATCAAGTTGGAATGGAATATTTAATTTTACAGTTGTTCCAATGTTACATCTTCTGTTACCTTCCAAAAAAGATAATACCAAAATATGATATTAGTAAAAATTAAAAGGATATCTAAATATTAGAGGTAATGGGTTTAAATTAATAGATTTGAACAGGCTGCTTGAAATCCCTTTGTTCCTGTGTCAGAAATCAGAACTAAAAACAGGCGTTAGAAACTTGGAGTCCTCCTACTGTTGTTGAACTGTAATTCTCAACATCCTATATTATTAGTTATGCTTGTTGAAACTGCTGAGTATTATAATTCAGCAACATTACAAGGGCAACAGGTTCCCATCACTGATATGAATCTGCTGCTCTCGGTTAAATGTTACTGTAACCTCATATTGTTTCTATCTTATAACATTAAAAAATGCACTCAAACACCACACATTAAACATAGGTTTCCTTTTTAAAAAAAATACCTGACAGCATGCTGCTTTTGTGAAGAATAGGGGTTTATCCACTTCATTACTTACTTCAGGTGTCAAGAGAGGGCTGAAAAATTATAGTGGTTATTATATAATGCCTTTTTGTATAGAATTCAAGTTGCATTCTTATAACTGGTATGACGAGAGAAGTTGATTTCACATACAATATTGAGCGAAGCCATTGTTTTATGGAATTTTGATTTATTGAACAAACCACAATTGGATAGGATGATATAACATGTTAATCCACTATTGGACAAGCCACATGATAGCTTAATGCCGTATGTGAATGAATTTACTGAGTAATCTAATATTCTTCAGGTAGTTTTATGGGTTTCATTTAATCTAAAATCAGATCTTCCCAAACCTGACCTGGCATTTGAACAACAATGTCAAACTGAATTTCTGGTAGGGATCATGGGACCCTACAGGCCATTTTCTGGGCTGCTGCTCTAGATATCTGACAAATAAAGTCTCAGATATGCTTCGAATTAGATGGTGACTGGAAAAATCCTCTCAAGGTGTTAGTAGCAAACTATTGTGTGATTAACTGGAATCAGTGTGAGCCTGATTGAGGAGATTGATAAGATCCTTGGGAATACTAATTCAATGAACTGTTCACTAGAACTATGTTATTTATTAGTAAATGGTAGTCTTGCTGCTTTGAAGGAGGCAGTGATGGTTTTACTCCTCAAGGGCACTTCAGTGGACACAACTGTATTAGACAATTTTCAACCTTTTAGGGGAGATTGTTGAAAAGCTAGTTGAATGTTGGAGCTTCAGAACAACCTAAAAGAATAGATCCCTTTCATTCAGATTTCAGGCCAACACAAAGGAAGAAATAGTCCTACTTGTTAATGATTTCTGGCAAAACTGGGATAGATTGATCCCACCAACTTTCAGTAGCATTGCTTGTGGTATCCTTCTGGCGGCTTGTGGGAATTAGAAGAAGGGTATACCTCTTTCTCTAAGGTTGAGTACAGTTGGTGCTGAGAGCAAAGAGAGATCAACTCTAAAGCTACTAATGTGTAGGGTATCTTAGGGCTGAATACACTTATCCTCTTCTGTATAACAATTCCATGAGAGTACAATAATATTTGCCCTGAGATTCCCCCCCCAAAAATGTGTTGAAGAGAACTTTGAACACTTGGGGTGTTTTTCCTATGCTTTAGAATATATTTACTGTTCCTATTCATTGCATTGTTTTTAGATTGGAT